TTTTTTTTTTTTTTTTTTTTTTTTTTTAAATATAATAATAATATAAATTTATATATAAATATAAAGTATAATATATATTTAAAAGACACTTGTTTTTGTAAAAATAATTAAGATTTAAATATTTTTAAAAATTTTTATATAATTTATAATTTTTTTTTTGTTACCCATTTTTTGTGTTAATAGCACCTGTTCCGATACTTAAAACTTTTCCTACATACTGATTATCTTTTAACTTTTTAAAAAAAAAAAAAAAAAAAAAATTAATATAGACTTATTTAATAAAATGTAAAAATAATAATAATAAAAAGTTACAGTATTTCCAATAAAAACTCCTGAATCTGTTGTATCGAAAGCTTCATTTTTTTCAATCAAAATAAACTCATTTAAGGGAGTTAACGGACCTCTAATTATTTTATTATCTATTTTATATTCTAACAAAAAAAAAAAAAAAACAAAAATATATATATATATAAATATACATAAATAAAAAGAAATATATATGGATGTAAATTAATTATAATAATTTAACATAAATGCATATATAAATTTTAGTGAATTTATAATTAAAAAAAAAAAAAAAAAAAAAAAGGATGGAGAATACCTGTTGCTCTTAAACTTTTTGAAGTTCTTTTAAATTGCTTAGGATTAGTATTTACAAAATTCTAAAAAAATAAAAAAATTTTAGATAAAATAATGTTTATCAACATTATTAAAATAATAACATACTAAGAATGTTATTATATATAAATATATATATATATATGCAAAAAAAAAATTTTTAAAATGTTCTTTATTCTATATTATAATTTTATATTTTTTCTTTTATTTTAATCATATTTACTAAATTGTTGCTTAAATTAATTTTTTTCGTTAAAACACTACTTAAAAAGATAATAGCAAAATACATTAATGCTGATAGTCTCATTTTTAAAGATATTAAAAAAAAAAAAATAAATAAACTTTAAAACCAAATAAAAAAAATAATGTTCTTTTTATTTATGAAATAAAATATATATAATTCATAATATTTATAAAGAAATATAGATGAAAATTTAGTTTTTATATTATATATATTTTTAAAGTTATTTAAAACTTTGCCACAAAGAAAAATTATATTTAAAAAAAAAAAAAAAAAAAAAAGCTATACACATATAATAACGTATATAAACTTTTAATACATAACCTATATTAGTAGATGCTCATTTAAATTATGTATATATGTATTTTTTTGAAGAGGAATTAAAAACATATTTTATAAAAATAAAAAAAAAAAATGTTTAATATAAATTGATTTAAATATTATTTGATTTTTGTATCCTTATTGTTTTAATATAAATATGTACTATTATATATATAACTATTAAAAATAAATATAACTATAAAAATTAACTGAATTTTTATAAAAAAAACTCTCAATAAAAATTACGGGTTCATATAAATATATAAACAGTTTTATATTAGAAAATATATATTAAAATATGTAAAAAAAAAAAAAAAAAAAAAAAAAAAAAATGTTTTTAACTTTTAACTAGAAAAACCAGAACATGCTTTAATCTGAATAAAAGGTTAACATTTACATATGTATATATATATATATTATTTTTGTTAATTATAGGCTCAAATAATTTATGTTCATGTGAATTCTCAAAAAAATACAAAATAAAGAAGTGGTATTTTTATTTTTATTTTTATTTTATTTTTTTTTTTTTTGTTATAGTTTTTACTGATTGTATATAAAATAAAAATATTTATAATTCTATATTGAGGAAATTTTAGAAAAGAAAATGTAAAATTGTTTTTTTTAGATGTTTTAAATTATCACAATATCCTACAATTTTTATTGAAATAAAATTTTTTTAAAATTAAGTAAAAAAAAAAAAAAAATATATATATATATATATAATTTAGTTTTTTAATAAATTTATAATCATTTTTTTTGTTTGTCAAAAAATCAGAGTTGAAAATAATAATTTTCTATAGAATTAACAAAAAAAGAAAAGATATATAACTAAAAATATAACAAAACATAATACTTAAAGTTTCCATATAAGATCTAAATATAAAATTAAATAAGTAGAAAATAAATATTGATGTATGTTTTATATATAATTTTATGATCATCAGAAAGTTAAGAATATTAAAAATAGAAAATATCTTAAAAGAAAATATATTAAGAATAAGAAATATATTTAAAAAAAAAATACCATTTAATAAAATAGAAAAGGAAAAGGAAAAGGAAAAGATCAAAAACATGGTTGATTTAACTTTTGAATGTTTAACTGAAAATCCAAATTTTGTTGAAGAAGAAGAGAAAGTTTTGAATTACTGGAAGCATATTGATGCATTTAATTTATCAAATAAATTGTCTCAAAATAAAAAGCCATTCATTTTTTATGATGGTCCACCATTTGCTACTGGGTTACCTCATTATGGTCATTTATTAGCAGGAATAATAAAAGATTGTATAACAAGATATTATTATCAGTGTAATTTTTTTGTAGAAAGAAGATTTGGTTGGGATTGTCATGGATTACCAATCGAATATGAAATTGAAAAAGAAAATAATATAAATAAAAAAGAAGACATTATGAAAATGGGTATAGATGTATATAATGAAAAATGTAGAAGTATTGTTTTAAAATACTCTAGTGAATGGGTTTATACTGTAGAGAGGATTGGTAGATGGATAGATTTTAAGAATGATTATAAAACGATGGATAAAACTTTTATGGAAAGTGTGTGGTGGGTTTTTAGCGAATTGTATAAAAAAAATTATATTTATAAATCTTTTAAAGTAATGCCATATTCTTGTAAATGTAATACACCTATTTCTAATTTTGAATTAAATTTAAATTACAAAGATACACCTGATCCTAGTATTGTTGTAAGCTTTGTTTTATTATCTCCATTTCCAACTGTTGAAGATGAATATAATATAGACGAGAAAAATGAGTTATTTAAGAAATTTTCAATTTTTTATGACGAATTTTTATCATCCAAAAAAAATAATTCTCATAATGAAAACCTTAAAAGAGAAAATAATAAACTTTATGATTTTTCAAAAAATGAAAATACTTTCGAAAATGAAATATTAGCATGGACTACTACCCCATGGACATTACCATCCAATTTGGCTTTATGTGTAAATGAAAATTTTATATATTTAAGAATTTGTAATTTAGAAAATAATAGAATTATGATATTAGGAGAATGTAGATTAGAATGGATAATTAAAGAACTTAAATTGAATATAAAAAATATACGCATATTAAATAGATTTAAAGGAAGATACTTAAAAAATTTAAAATATACCCCATTATTTAATAATTTCTATGAAAAATACAACTTTAAAGAAAATGCTTATAAAATTTTAGCAGATGATTTTGTCACGGATGATGCTGGTACTGGTATTGTTCATTGTGCTCCATCTTATGGTGAAGATGATTTTCGTGTTTGTAAAAATAATAATATTATAGATCCGGAAAAATCAATATTAATAGATCCGTTAGATTCTAATGGATATTTTACTGGAGAAATAGAGGAATTAGAAAATATGTATATAAAAGATGCAGATAATGTTATTAAGAAAAAACTAAAAGAGCAAAATAGATTATTAAGTAACAATACTATTGTTCACTCTTATCCTTTCTGTTGGAGAAGTGATACTCCTTTAATTTACAGAGCCATACCAGCATGGTTTGTTAGGGTCAGTAATTCTACGAAAAATTTAATCAAAAATAACGATACTACCTATTGGATACCTTCTTACATTAAAGAAAAAAAATTTCATAATTGGATAAAAGATGCAAAGGATTGGTGTATTAGCAGAAATAGATATTGGGGTACTCCTATACCAATTTGGTGTGATGAAAAAATGAATACTGTTATTTGTATTGAAAGTATAAAACATTTAGAAGAATTATCAGGTGTAAAAAATATAAATGACCTACATAGACACCATATTGATAAAATTGAAATTGATAATCCAAATGGGAAACATTTACCAAAATTAAAAAGAATACCAGAGGTTTTTGATTGCTGGTTTGAGAGTGGTTCCATGCCTTTTGCAAAAGTTCATTATCCTTTTAGTACAAAACAAGAAAACTTTGATAAAATATTTCCTGCAGATTTTATAGCTGAAGGATTAGATCAAACAAGGGGATGGTTCTATACTTTATTAGTTATAAGCACATTATTATTTGATAAAGCACCATATAAAAATTTAATATGTAATGGTCTTGTTTTAGCATCCGATGGAAAGAAAATGAGTAAAAGATTAAAAAATTATCCAGATCCTACTTATATAATTAATAAATATGGTGCAGATAGTTTACGATTATACTTAATAAATTCAGTAGCTGTACGTGCAGAAAATTTAAAATTTCAAGAAAAAGGGGTTAATGAAATCGTAAAAAGTTTTATTTTGCCATATTATCACAGCTTTCGATTCTTTACTCAAGAAGTTACAAGATTTGAAAATACACACAATATTAATTTTATATTTTGTGAAAAAAATATTTATGAAAATGTTAATATTATGGATCAGTGGTTATTTTCTTGTATACAAAATTTAATAAAATGTGTTCATATAGAAATGAAGGCTTATAAATTGTATAATGTTCTACCAAAACTTTTGAATTTTATTGAAAATTTAACAAATTGGTATATAAGATTAAATAGAGATAGAATGAGAGGTACGTTAGGAGAAACAAATTGTATTCATTCATTGAGTACAGTTTATAAGACTCTCTATTTATTTACTATTATTATGGCACCATTTACTCCATTTATTTCTGAATATATATATCAATTGTTGAAAAATATAAAAACAGAAGACTCCAGTTTTACAACAGATAATAATACATATTCTAATACAATCACATTTAATAGTGTAAGTAACGAGAATGAAAAAAAAAACATAATGAATTCACAGGATTTCAATGAAGATATGAAAAAAAGTGTTCATTTTATTATGCTACCACATGTAGATGAAAATTATACAATTAACTATGAAATTATTGAACTTGTAGAAAATATGAAAAATGTTATTTTATTAGGTAGAATTTTGCGAGAAAAGAGAAAAGTACCTAATAAGAGGCCACTAAAATCTCTAACTGTTTTACATAAAAATATTGATTTTTTTAAAAATTTTGATAAAATTTCTAATTATATAAAGGAAGAATTAAACGTTTTAAATTTAGAATTTTCCAATGATACAAATTGCCTCAACTTTTCTGCTGTACCAAATTTTAAAAAATTAGGTATTAAATTAGGTTCTAATTTAAAAAATATTCAAAATAAAATAAAGAATATGAGTTCTGATGATATTAAATATTATGAAGAAAATAAAAAAATTATTATTGATAATATTTTATTAGAAGATGATGACATTATTATACAAATGAAACATAATCTTCAAGATACTAATACAGAAGCATTAAGTAATAATTTTATAACTATTTTAATTGATTTCACAGCAGACGAGCAATTAGAAAATATGGAAAATGCTCGCGAAATATGTAATAACATACAAAAAATGAGAAAAAATTTATCATTAAGCCAATATACACCTATACAAATGCATATATATATTTATGATGAAATATTAAAAGAGAAAATGATAAAAGAACTAAGTTATATTAAAAAATGTTTAAGAAGAGATTTACATATAATTAATTCCGAAGAAGATATTAAAACCTTACAGAATTCATTTCATGAAGAAACAATAAAAATTAATAATAAAAATGTAACTGTTATTTTTACAAAAGATTAAAATTAGTACAAATAAAAAAAAAAATTTAATAGAAAAAAAAAGTTATATATATATATATATATATGTCAACATATGCAATAAAAATTAAGACAAATTATTGAATTATATTAATTTTCTATATAATTGCATATTTTTGTCTTTTATTTTTAAATATTATGTAACTTTTTCATCTTGTTAAAACAATTAATTATAATTTTATACACAAAATTATTATTAAAAAAAAAAAAAAAAAAATAAATAGTAACTTAAATTATTAAATGATACATTTTTTTAATATATAATTTAAAAATCCCTTTCAATTATAAATAAAATTATTATTATTTATAGATTGAATATGTAAAATTATGAAAATCTGTTTAATTTTTGATATGAATTTGATATTAATTTAATATATATATATATATATATATATATAATTGTCTATTTATTTACCCATTTATCTATTAAACAACTTTAACTTGAATTAAAATTAAATTTTATTATTTTAAAAAGAAATTGCAAACATTATATTTTTTTTTTTTTTTTTTTTTCCCTTTGATTGAATTATTTATTAAAAAAATAAAAAAAAAAAAAAAAAAATAATAAATAAATAAATAAGAAATTATATAATTCTAAAATGAAAAACAAAATAGTAAAATTTTACTTCTTTTAAAAATTATTTAAATATCTGATAAATAAAAATATAATATTTAAAAATAAAAAGGTTTTAAAAATGTATATAATACATTTTTATTAATAATTTCTAAAAAAAAAAATATAGTACAAGTGTTACAAGAAATTAGATATATGTATATTATTATTATTATTTATGTATATTATTATTGTTATTTATGTATATTATTATTGTTATTTATGTATATTATTATTGTTATTTATGTATATTATTATTGTTATTTTTCTTTTTTTTTATTTTTTCAAACAAAAAATCAAAAAATATATATATATATAAATATTACTAACTACTTTAAAATCTAGTAACTATTCTATTATATTTATATCATTTCTTTTTTAATCAAAAATTAAATCATATATTCTCTTAAATTCTTTATTATGTACATTTACCTATTCTTCTTTTGAATTTTTTTTATATCATAGTTTTAATAATAGAAGATTTGTATTTGAAATTATTTGTTATATTATTATCATTTATATTATTAAGTTTAAAAACTTTTTCAATAATACTTAATTCAATAGCTGTTGTATCCATACCACAAAATGCTGACCAATCATTCGCAACTAAACCTGACCCTATCAGGTCACTTCCTCTGTTTATTGTACCTGTTATTAAAGGAATTTGTAAAAGTTCAGATAATTCTTCAATTTCTTGTGAAGATGTCATAGCATGTAATAATCCTCCATTATTAGTAAAATAAGAATAAGTACCAACTAATAAGTTACCAGCAATTGATGTTCTAAAAACTTCTATATCTAAAACATCTTGAATAATTTCTTCCGTTTCTCTATCTATATCTGTATGTATTAAACCAACATAATCATTAGCAGTTATGCAATTTCCTAATGCTGATAATCTCTCTTCAATTCTTTTTATTTTTACATTTTCTGGTAGAGAATTTCTTAAATGTAATAATTCTTGATCTGTGCAAATACTAGATACTAATAATCCTTTCCTATTACCAACACAAACCCTTCCTATAACTTTTGTTCCTCCTATTGTTGTATAAACTAGTGGTATATGTTGTGATAATTCGGATTCAAATACACTTGAAAAATTTTCTGAACTTCCTAAAGCTATTAATGCATATGAGTTTGTTAATCTTGAAAATACACCCACTTCGTTTGAATTCTCAAATTGAACTCTTATTGCCATTTTTTTCTACTACTCTATATTTAAATATACCTCAAATATTTATAAAGTTAAATATCTTCAATTATGATTAAATATATATTACTTCTTTCAGTTTTTATGAATGAAATTTTATTCTTAAGTTTTTGAAGTAAAATAATTTTTATTTTTTTATTTATATTTCTTTATTTTTTGATATATTTAAATATATATACAATATGTAAAAACAAATTATTTAATAAAATAAGGTTTTTTTAATAGAAAATAAAATAAAATATCTAATTACAAAAAAATAAAAATAAATAAAATAAATAAATAAAATAGATAGATAGATAGATAAATAAATAAATAAATAAATAAATAAATAAATAAATAAATAAATAAATAAATAAATAAATAAATATATATTTATATATATGATAAAGAGAAGGAATTAATTAGGTATGTATGTAAATTTTGTCCAAAAATTACCACAAATAAAATCATATATATATATATATATTTTCCTTAATTATTTACGTTGTAATACGTTATTTATCTTACAAAGCATAATTAAAAAAAAAATTATTTTTTTTATATTATGTTTATATAATTATCTCATTTTTATTATGTTACAAAAATATTTTTTGTTCTTTGTTCTTGTTTTTTGATAGTTTTTTCTTCGTTTTATTCCAACAATTATATTAAAAGAAAATCTACATTTTATGCCATTTTTATTCTTTCATAAAAATAAATTCACTCTTTTAAAGAAATGTACACAAAAAAAAAAATTCATATTCTCGAATATATTCATAAATATATATAAATTTTTTTTTTTTTTATATAAACGTTTAAATAGTTTAGAAATTTTTTTTATGTTTGCTACAAAGAATATAAATTATTTTTATATTTTACAATTAAATTTTTTTTTTTAATTTAAAAAAAAAAAAATCTCTTCAAAAAATTTTTTTTTTTTTTTTTTATTTTGATTCCTGTATATATGATATAGGTAAAATAGAAATGTTTATTTTTATGATTTTTAATTTATTATTTTTGTAAATATATTTGTAAAAAATTTTAAGAAAATTTTTCATATATATAATAATATTGAAATAATCAAAATATATAATTAAAAAAATAAACTTTTTATTTAAAGATACATATGCTTTACAAAAAGCATAACAAATCAAATTATCTTTATGTTAATAAAGTTTTAAATTTTAAATATAGAAAAATAGTTGATAATAACTAAAAAAAAATATGAATTCCTTTTACATTAAAAGTATAAAAAAACATGAAAATTATTCATTATATACAAGAATTTATTAAAATACTTTTTAATTAATTATAATAGTAACATTATTTTTTTTTTTTTTTTTTAAACATTTATTTTTTTACAATTATTCATGTATATAATTTTAAATTATATTCTTAAATAATTTTAATATATATATATTAATGAAATTTTATTTGATTTATTAAAAGATATATATATATCTAATTCAGAAAAAAGTAAAATAATAAAACTTTAAAAAAATTTAACAATTGTAGGATTTTTATAAATTAAGAATATTTCAAAATAAAAAAGATAAAACAAATCAAAATTATTTGTTACATAAAATTTGAAATTTATGAAAAAAGAAAAGTATTAATTACTTATTATTTTAAATTTATAATTTTTTCTTTTTTGAAAAAAGCTTGAAGTATTTTCATATAGGTAAATATATAGATTTAAATATGACATAAAAATAAATTTTTAAATTAATCATACAATTTTTTTTTAAATATTATTTTTAATAATGAAATTTATTACAATTAATAATTATTATAATAGTTAATATTTTTTAATGAATTGAAATAAAAATAATGAAAGTAATGAAACGAGCAAAAATAATAGTTATAAAATAAATTGCACATGTTACCAATTTAAAATTTTATAGTTACGAATGAATATCTTCATAAGACATTAATTATTTATGATTATATTTATGTTTAATTAATTTGTTCTTTTTTAAATATTTTGATAGAAATTTCAATATTTGAGTAATTTTACAATTAATTAATTTTTTAATTATAATAGTATTTTTTTTTTTTTTTTTTTTTTTTTTTTTTTTTCAATAAAATTATGTACAATGAGTAAAAGACTTTTATTAAGATATTCAAAATTAAATAGATTATCACAGATAAAAAAATATTTAAAAAAATTACTTTTAGAAAAAAAAAAAAAAAGAAAAAAGGAAGAGGAAGAGGATGAGGAAGATACAAATGAAAAGGAAAATAATAATATAACTTTTGAAAATTTAGGAATAGAAGATTGGTTAATTAAAATAAGTAAAAGTGTTCAAATTAATTATCCAACGAAAATTCAACAATTATGTTTGCCATTAATTATTCAAGGAAAAAATGTTATTGGTACTTCTGAAACAGGAAGTGGAAAAACAATTTGTTACTGTTGGAGTATCTTACAAGAATTAAATAAAAATTTTTTTGCTATTTTTGCTTTAATATTATTACCAACAAGAGAGTTAGTTTTTCAAATAATAGAACAATTTCTTTTATATGGAAGTAAAATAGGTGTAAAAGTTTTATCATGTATAGGTGGATATTCCTTAATAGAACAAAGAAGAAATATTTTAAGCAAGCCACATATAGTTATAGGGACACCTGGTAGAGTTAGTGATATTTTGAATAACTGTGAAGATATAAAAAGTTGTTTTAAAAGATTAAAATTTTTAGTTTTGGATGAAGCAGATCTACTTTTACAAAAATGTTTTGAAAGTAAACTAAAAATAATTTTAGATAATTTACAAAAAAGTAATGAAAGAAGAACATTATTTTTTAGCTCAACGATTACTCATTCAATACAGTTATTAATAAAATCTTTTCCTAATGACAACTTAATGTTAGTTAATGCTAATAAAAATCAAAAACCGGTGAAAAATTTAGATCAAAGATATATATATGTAGATGATATTGCACAAATAACTTATTTAGTTTATATTTTAAAAAATAAATTAACTGATTTATCAGGTATAATTTTTACAGCTAATAGTTATAAGTGTCAATTAATTTATTCAGTTTTAAATATTTTAGGAAATTTTTCTGTTGAATGTATTCATTCATCAAAAGAACAAAAAAAAAGAATCTCATCCTTATCAAAATTTAAAAATGGTTTATGCAAAATAATGGTTGCAACTGATATAATTAGTAGAGGAATAGATATACCGAGAGTTGCTTTTGTTATCAATTTTGATTTCCCAAATGACACTATTCAGTATATTCATAGAATAGGTAGAACTGCTAGAGCCAACAGGAAAGGTCTAGCTATTTCTTTTATTGATAAAAAAGACATAAAAAATTTTAAAGACGTTAAAAAAATTATGAAAGATAAATTGAAACCTTATATACTTGATAAAAATGAAGTCTTAAAAGATATGTTTAAAATTGGGAAAGCTATAAAAAAAGCTGAAATAATGTTAGAAGAACAAAAAGATATAAGAAAAGAAAATGAACAGCTAAAATATTTTATCTATCATAATGAATGAAATTGTAAAAAGAGATATATTTTACTAAAAAATATAAAATAAATTCAAATTGTTTAAATAAATAAATTGAATAAATAATTAAAATAATCAATTACTACACATTAAAAATAAAATTATTTATAATTAACATAAATGTATTATAATCTTAAAAAAAAGTAAACATATATTTTTAAAGATATTTTTAATGTTATACTTATAAAATATAATATATTATTACGTTTTATATTCTTCATTAATTGGAAGAGGTATATTCATGTATTTTTTTTACTTATATTTTTAATTTTTTTATTTATTTATTAAAAATTCCATATTACTTTTTGTATACACTTAAATATTATTATTTGTTTTTTTTTTTTTTTTACCAAATCAGAGTTTAACATTTGTTTAATTAATTTTTTAAATATATATGATTCATTTTTTACTTAAAAATAACTATATTTTTAAATTTATATTATTTGTAGCATTTTTTTTTTTTTTTTTTTTTTTTTTTCATGAATAAAAAAAAAAGATTTAGTTTACATATATTTTCTCTTTTTAATTCTATTTTACTTTTTTTTTGTTTGTTTTTTTTTTTTTTAATTATATTCAGTCAATTTATTTTAAATTATTTTATTTTTATTACCTTAATTATTTTGAATTTTATATATTCTAAATCANAATATATATGATTCATTTTTTACTTAAAAATAACTATATTTTTAAATTTATATTATTTGTAGCATTTTTTTTTTTTTTTTTTTTTTTTTTTTTTTTTTTTTTTTTTTTTTTTTTTTTTTTTCATGAATAAAAAAAAAAGATTTAGTTTACATATATTTTCTCTTTTTAATTCTATTTTACTTTTTTTTTGTTTGTTTTTTTTTTTTTTAATTATATTCAGTCAATTTATTTTAAATTATTTTATTTTTATTACCTTAATTATTTTGAATTTTATATATTCTAAATCATTTTAATTTTACTAATTATATTTGAGTGAGAATAACAGCTTTAAACAAAGAAATTCAAGATATAAATTTATATATTAATTAAAAGTAAAAAAAAAATATTTTAAATTACTTATTTTATTAAAGCATACAATTTGAAATACTTTTTATATTTATGTTTATAAAAGAAAAAAGTATGGAAAACTTTCTATATTTTATATTAAAACAATTATATTTTTTATAAAATTTAAAATTTCATCTATCTCAAATACGTAATATATATATATATATTTAATCTATTAAAATTTTGATCATTTCCGTCAACATAAAAAAAAAAAAAAAAAAAAAGATAGGTATAAAAAATTTAGAAATAATATATATATTTTATCTTTATTTTTTTTTTGTTTTATTTTAAAAATTTTAATTTATTCTTTACATATATTAACAAATTGTTTTATTATTTTTTTTTTTATTTTGTTCTTTTAAATGAGAAAAATAATGAATTGTTAAAAAATTTTGATTACTATCTTATTTTATAACACTTTTGATGAAACTTATATGTCCTGTTTTAATTTACAGCTAATTTTATTTATACTCTTCTTTTTCATCCTTTTAAAGTTATTAAATATTTATTAAAATTTAAAAGTATTTTATGATTATAAACGTATAAACTACAATGTTTATCTGTCATATCTAATTTTATAATTTTTCTATAATTCTTTTTTATTTTTTCCCTTTTCTTCATTTATTAACAAAATTAGATAATCTAAATATATTTTCTATTATTATTTTTAATGGTTTTTAAATTATTTATTTATTTTTTTTTGTATATGATAAGAATTAATTTATTTAAGCATAACCTATATGCCCTTTCATATAAGATTATAAACAAATATAAGTATTCAAATATTAATAAATGCATTCATTTAGAAAAAACACCTTTTGAAAAATATTACAGTATTAATTATAAAAATATAAGAAATAATAAAATAATAGAAAAAAAAGAAGAGAAATTTTTTTCAAGAAATTTCTACCTGAAAACACCAAAAGAAATTGATATTGATAAGAAATTACGTGAAACATCAATGGAAGAGAAAAATAAAAGTGATGAAAAAAATAATACAAAATTAAAAAAAGAAGTTAGTGAACATGTAAATGATATGAATGTAATAAATACTAAAAAAGAAAATGTTGAAGAAATTAAAAAAACTGTGAAAACGGAAAAGAATAATGTATCAGAAAAGGTTGTGACAAAAAAAAAAATAGATAAAAAAGGAATAAAAAAAAAAAAGTTAGAAATATCAACAAGTAAAGTATCATATCCACCAATTCCTAGTAGTCTTGAAAAAAAGTGGGATGATTTTAAAAAAATAAAAGAATATGCAAAAAAAACAAATGTATATTTAGGTGCACATATATCAGCTTCTGGTGGTGTGCAAAATGCACCTGTTAATTCTTTTAATATTTCTGGTTTATCATTTGCTTTGTTTTTGAAAAATCAAAGAAAATGGGAAAGTGCGTCATTAACTTCTGATAATATTAATAAATTTGAAGAAAATTGTAAGAAATATGAATATGATAAAAACTTTATCTTACCACATGGATCCTATCTAATAAATTTAGCTAACCCTGATAAGGAAAAAAGAGAGAAGTCTTATTTATCATTCTTAGATGATATTAAAAGATGTGAACAATTAAAGATAAAAATGTACAATTTCCATCCTGGTTCTACTGTTGGATTATGTTCCATTCAGGAAGGAATAAAAAATATATCTGATTGTATAAATAGAGTTCATAAAGAGACATCAGATGTTATAATAGTTTTAGAAAATTCAGCAGGGCAAAAGAATTCTATAGGATCAAAATTTGAACATTTAAGAGATATTATAAATCAAGTAAATGATAAAAGTCGCATAGGAGTATGTTTGGATACATGTCATACCTTAGCAGCTGGTTATGATATAAAATCGTTTGAAAATTTTGAAAAAGTAATGAAGCAATTTGACGAAATAGTAAATACAAAATATCTAAAAGCCGTTCATTTGAATGATTCTAAATCCGATATAGGCAGTGGATTAGATAGGCATGAAAATATAGGAAAAGGAAAATTAACAATAGATACTTTTAAATATATTATGACTTCTGATTATTTTAAAAATATGCCAATAATTCTAGAAACACCAGATGTAACAAATGATGAATCAGTTTATAAATATGAAATTGAATATTTATATAAACTATGTTTAACATAAAAAGATTGTGTATATCAATATCTAATATTAATTATATCAAAATTTATATGTTTTCCATTTAACTAGATTAAAATATATATTAAAAAATTATTTATTAATACAAAAATATTACCATTTTTATTATTAAATATATATTAATTAAAAAAAAAAAAAAAAATAAAAAAATAAAAAAAAAAAATGAAATAAACTATTTTTAAATTTAAAATTATTAACAAATTATAATATTCTATAATTTCTATATTTTCTTTTTTTTTTTTTTTTATTCTTAAATTATTGATATTATATGTATGTCAAAATGTATTAAAATAAATTTAAATAATATAATTATTTTTAATTTTTTTGCTTTTGTATTGAACATTTTTTTTAAAAATCAATTTATAAAATTAAAAGTTCCTAAATACATCTGAATTTTTATCTACGTTTTAACAAAGTAACATTTAATGTTTTCTTTCTTATATATATAGAGCAATAATAATAATAAATACCTAATTAACTTATGTATTTAAAAAGGTATTAACATCAAATTGTTGGTCTCCTAATTTAATTAAATATTCCATGAAATTTCTAGGTAAAACAGGAACATTTCTATCTTTTTCGTTTTTCGTATAATAATATTTAGAAACAAAACGAAATGGTAAAATTATAGATTCCTTATTATTTTTAAGATATATTTCCGGTTTATCAACAAAAGGAATGTTTTCTAATTCAATATTATCATTTAAAATAATATAACAAACAAGTACTGCAGTATTTGTAGTCATTTGGATATTACCTAAGTTTCTTGAAATAGGGAAATTATATTTTCTTAATTCGGATGTTCTATCATCTGATGGTACATTTCCTAAAATACCACCAAATAATAAAAAATCTATTTTATTTTTATCCTCACATTTTAATGTTTTTTCTGCTTTCATATCTAATAAACATATTTTATCCCAGTTAAAATTATCTTTTAAATCGTTTATTGATTCACTATAACAAGTAGGTTTATGGGTATTACATATGTCACTAAATTTTGCATCAAATTTAGTAAATATAGTATTTATATCTTTTACAATATCACATATATGTATATATTCAAGTATACACCATTCTTCTAGCTCATCTAAGTGTTCTATAATATATTTTGTAGGCATTTTTTTTTTTTTTTTCAATATAATTTTTCATGAGTATATATATATATATATTAAATAAATATGTATATTATAATGAAATTTTTCGAAACTATATTTTCTGTCATTTTTCTTTTTATTTTTTAATTTTGTTTTTAAAAAATTTTTTTTTTTTTTTTTTTTTTTTTTTTTTAAAAATTTTTTTTTTTTTTTTTTTTTTTTTTTTTTTTTTTTATGCACAGTAATCAATATTTTTAATTTATTCATAATTTATTTAAAAAAATGATAAAAATTACATAAAATTTTATAAATAACATTAAATTATAAAAAAGTAATTTTTATTAAAGTTTATTTTAAATAATAAATAATTATATTTATCATTTTTTTTTTTATTGTTTCGTCATTTTTTTTTTTTTCCATCTTTTAAATGGAAGATTCATACTATTTTATGCACAATGAAGAAGAAACAGAAAAAGTAAAAGAAATAAAATTAGAGCTACACAAAGCTCTAAAAAAAAATAGAGAGAGAGTAAAACAAACAAATAAGCCTATGGAAGCATCACATGTAATTTCATTAGTAGATGAAAAGAATGATAAAAATACTTCACATATTAGTAAAAAAAATTATGAGAAAAATTCCCTTTATAAAAATGACTGTGGATTGCCTATATATCCTGAAAGTAAAAAAAATGAAGAATCACATTCAAGGGATATTGAAAAACACAACAAAGATATTTCCTTGAGTGAAATAAAAAAAAAAAAAGTAAAAGATAAGAATGCAAAAAACGATAAAAACGCAAAAGACGACATTAAGAATATAATAAATGACAATGAAAATGAAAAAAGTCAAGTAATAGAAAATAAGAAAAGAAAAATTAACGACAATATAACTAATACAAAAAAATTAAAAACTTCATCTCCTTTATATAAGGAAAATATAAACATATCAAAAACTTCTTCATTTGAAGTAATAAATGAAAAATCTGTTATCTCCATAGATTCCAAAGAAAGTATATCTCATCTAAGTATTTCATCAAATTCATCATCTACAGATTCATCCGCGACTAATTATTTAACAAATAATAAGAAAAATAAAAATTCTTCTGATAAGAATTTAGCAACTGGTAATTCTACATATATAAAAAAAGACAATAATTTCAAAAAAAAAAATGTATCTATAGAAAAATATACAAGAAAAGAAGAAAATAATATAAAAGAAATAAATTCATCAAAGGATAGTAACTTTAAAGTTCTTAATGATTTTAAAATAAACTATCAGAATCTTACAAATAATGAAAAGGAATATTATAATTATATGATGAAAAAATTAAATATCAAATATGATTCAACAAAACACATATTTTATAGTGATGGAATGTTTGTAGAAAATTTTTCCAAAATAATTCAAAGAGAAAAAGGTAATTTCAATTATGCAGGTTACTTAGAGTATGCGTGTTTTTACATTTTAGAATGGTTAACTCCTACAAAAGAAGAAAAGTTATTAAAATTAAAATCTCTATTGAAGTTAGAAGTAATTGTAAAATCTATATTTCCTAAATCAAGAATGGAAGTATTTGGATCATTTGTTACAGGTCTATCTATTCCAGGTAGTGATGTAGATGTATGTTTTATGAATATAGATGGAGAGGATATTAATTGTCTTTATATAATTGCATATGCGTTAATAAAATTAAATATTAATAGTGACTTAAAAATTGTTAAAGATGCCAAAGTAAAAATATTAAAATACACTGACAAAGAAAGTGGAGTTCAAATTGATATATGCATAAACCAAAAATCATCAAGAGAAACAACAGAATTTATATTAAAACAAATTAAAGAATATATTTATCTAAGACCGTTAGTATTACTTTTAAAGTTCTTTCTTAATTCTAGAAATTTAAATGAAACATATACAGGAGGTATAGGATCATTTCTTCTTTGCTGTATGGTATTAAATTTTTTGCAGTTACATCCTTCAACTTTTGATAATTATACTTACAATAATACTCATTTAGTAAAATTACTAATTGAGTTTTTTAATTTCTATAGTATTGATTATAATATAAATGATAACTGTTCTATTATAAGAGGATTAGGACACATTATGCCAAGAATTTTAAGAAAAGAATTTGAAGGTTGTGATCGTATTTGCTTTGAAAACCCAATAGATACATCTCTTGATATTGGAAGAAATGCATATAAAATAAAATATATATTATATCTTTTTAGTTACAATTTTTGTAATTTAATATCCCTGATGTCTAAATTGAAAAAAAAAAAATATATATTTATAAAAAATAAAGAGAATGAAAATATAAATAATAATAATAATAATAATAATAATAATAATAATGATGATATTAATAGTAACAGTAATAACAATTTTATTGAAGGGTGTAAAATAAATACCTATTCTTTATATCCTTTATTTTATGGACACTTTATTAATCCTGATAATATTGTGTTTACTAAAAGAATAAAGGAAAATTTTCCTAGTGAAGACTGGAATATTAATCATTTTGATTTTATTTATTCAAAACAAGAAAAAAACAATTTATTTGAAATGTTTTGTGATGATATTTCATATCTTTTAGATCCAAACTATAAAATTGATAATATTAATTTGTTTTCCTACATTGCAAAAATTTTTTCTTTTTCTATAAATATTTATAATAATGTTTTTAAGTATACATATTAAGTTTTATAAGAAAAATTTACCCATATATAAATAGTTTGATCTTATCATAAATATTATTTATCACTCCAATTTTGTTTTTAATGTAAATAAAAATAATTACTAATAGAAAAAATATTAGTTAAAAATGCATAAAGCACATTAAAAAAACTTCATATTGAAAACTAAAAAATTTGATATAAAGTTTAAAAAAAAAAAATTTTTTTTTTTTTTTTATTATGCTTTTATTTTAAATATTAATTTCCTTATATGAATTTAAGATACAAAAATAATAAAAATACTATATATATATATTTTTTTTTGAGAAAAAGTATATTTAGAATCAATTTCATTATACTTTTTTTTTATTTTTTTTTTTGATTTTAATTTTTTTTTTATGTGTTTCACTTTTAAATAATATTATAGAGTAATTAATTTTTAAAATATGAACATAAATTATTATTGATGTAAAAACTTTTTTGCAGCTAAATGAACATTTTGATCAAATAAAGAACTTGTTATAATCCCGTTAGGTTCATATAAAGGGTTTAACAAAACTTTTATATAATTTTCATGAACTATTTCAAAAAAAGATCGTATATTTTCATCAGAAGGTACATATATGTTTGTATTAGTAGAGTTATTAATTTCATTTTTATTTTTGAATAATAATAAAAACTTGATATGCCCAGGTGTACAATAAGCAGATACGCTATAATTATTAAAAGAATCAATAGATTTTAGAAACATACTTGAACTTCTCCAAACTAATTCATCTAATGAATCTAATGATTGATGAATTATAAATTGTGCTAAATGTTCTGAAATATCTTTTTTTCCATTAATTGATAAGTCAGCTTCATATATTGGTATATCCCCTTTACCTATAATTGTCAAAACAAATACTTGATACGGTAATAAAGAATTATTTCCTATATTTCTGTTCATATTTTATATAATTTTAATTTTTCACAAAATCCACATATAAATATTCATTATTTATTCTAAGATTTTTATAACTGTTCTTGATTTTTTTTTAGAACATATGCATCTTATATCAATATTTTAAATTTGCTTAAAATGAAATAACACATACATTTGACATTATTTTTTCTTTTTTTTTTTTTTTTTGTTAATTATAAAAATAAAACATTTTTAATTTCCAAAATTACAACAAAATTAAAAAAATATTAAGATTCCGATTTTTTATAATAATTATTTTTTTAAGTATATTTATGCATATGTTTTTCTATTTTTTTATTCAAAATTAAATATAAAAATGAAATTTTTTAAATAATTAAGTATAGCATATTTATATAATTTATGATTAAACAAAATAATTTATTTATTGAATAAGAAATTTGTACTAAGAAAAATATAAATATAAATATATGTTTATATATATATATATATATATATATATATATATGCTTGATTTTATATCTTAAATGTATTGAAAATATAACAGTAGATTAAATAAAAAAAAAATAAATAAATAAAAGAAATACATATGTATTAAAGCATTAAATTATATAAAAATAAAAAATAATAAAAAAAAATTGTGAAAAAAAAAATTTTTTTCTATATAAATAAAAATATTTTTTAATAATGCGTCATTCGTTCAAAACAAAATATGCATTACCTAAAAAAATTGAGAATTTATAATTTCAAAAACATAATAATTATTGTCCAAATTTAAGTTTTGGAACAAATTTTTTAATTTCCTTCTTTAGTTCTACTTTTTTCAATAACGTCATTTTTATTTTACTTTTATCGATAAATATAGATTTTTTTTTAGCATCTTCTAAGATTTTTTTTAATTCAGAATTTTCAACGCTTGTCTCTATAAAAATAATAAAAAAAAAAAATGATATAATAAAAGAGAAATATTTCAAAATATAAAGTTTGAAATGAATAAATATATATGCGGTATAATGTAATTTTTTATAAATATTTCAAATTAATACAAAATTTTTTTCAATTCTTTTTTAATATAATAATTATATATTACGTTTAATTATTGTATCCTTTTTTGTAACTGGTTTTTTCATTATTTTCGATACTTCAGCGTTTTTTGTATTTGTTTCATCTTTTTCTGTATCCTCATTTTTTGGTTTTTTGAAATTAAAAAGGGAAAACTTTTTTTTAGTTTCATTTGGTTCTTTTTTCCCAGTATTTAATTTAAAAATGGACAATGGTTTTTTAATTCCAAGTTCTTTTTTCTTTTCTAATATAGTTGGATTACTTTTTTCATTTTCAGAATTCTTTGAAAATTTTTCATTTATTTTTGCTTCAATATTAGGAGTAAAATTTTTATTTTCTATTTCTTTATTTAAATTTTGTTTAGAACTTTTATTAATTTCAGATTCTTTATTTGCATTTTTATCATTTGAAGGTTTTATATTTATTATTTTTAAAATTTTATTTAAATTTTCTTTTTTAGGCTCAACTTTTATTTTAAGGAGTGGTTTAAGTATATTTTTAGAGGTCAGTTTTTGATCTACTGAATCACTTTTAGTAGGTGCAGATTCTTTTATTTTACTTTTTATATTATCATCTACATTGTTTATTTGTTCTGTAACTTTAGCTTTTGTGAGTGCATCTTTTTTTTGATATAATGGTAGTTTAATTTTTATTTTTCCATCTTCCATCTTTTCAGAATTAATTACAAGTTCCTCATTATTTAATGAATTTTTTTTATTTTCAGTTAATTCCTTTTTTTCCAATTCATTTTCCGCAGAAATATTTTTGTTTTTAGTTTCCATTTTTAATGGACTTTTTAAAGTAAATGGTTTAATAGTACCTGGTTTTCCTAATTCTATCTTTTTTGATAAGTCTTTTATAAGATTTTTTACATTTGATGGCTTATTTTTATGTTGATCATCTAGAATATTTTCCATTTTTTTTGTATTTATATTGTTATTAGTAAAGGTATTATTATTATTATCAATATTATTATTGACATTCTTATTAGCATTATTATCAATGCTATTATTACTGTCATTCTTAGTATTATTATCATTATTTTTATGAGAACCATCATTTTTAACAGTAATAGAAGCAGAATTATTATTGTTGTTTATATGGTTATTATCTTTAATTATTCTCTTATAAATTCCCTTTTGAAAAATTTTTCCTTTTACATCAATGCTTGATTCATTTAATTCTTTAACATCTTCTGTTTTTAATCCTATAAGAGAAAAATATAATATATGATTATTTTAATTAGAGATAACAGGCTTCATATAAAAAATTATGGAGATAAATATATAAATACCCTAAATCAATTTTATTAATAATAATAAAAATAAGTGTAAAATGAAATGTTAAAATCCGTTTTTATTATCTATATTAGTACCTTGTATCTCTTTTTTAGATGAATAAGGTTTAAAGGAAACTTTTTTCCCTCTCTGAATAAGTGTATTATTATTATTTTTAATTATTTGTAACTTTGTTTGAACTTTATGCTCTTCTGACTTTTGAATTCCAGCCTTTTCAATGATATCCTTACTTAAAACAATGCTTTTTTTCGTAATTAACTTCCCTTTTAATCCTATTTTTGTATTGCTAGTTAGAGATTTTTGTGTATTTTGTAAAATTATTTGAGATCTATTTATACTTGAATTATCCGAAAATTTGCTTTCCTTTACATGCTTAAATACTTCTGCTGGTAAAACAGATTTACTAGGATATTGATATACAGATACATACATTTTACCTATTATTTTTGGATTATTTTTATCTATTCTTGAATAAATATCCCAAGGGGCATTTTTTACTAATGTTTTTTCACTAATAAAAGAACATTTTGATGTTCCTACTAATAACTTTCCTCTGACATCATGAACATCTATTCTGAAACTTGGAACTGTTCCAGGAATTTTATGAGGCAAAGTATTTAAATTGATAGTATTATCTACATTAAATATGTATATTCCATTATGTAATATCTCATCGGGATTTTTAGGTTTCGTAACCCTTTTACTATTTTGAATAGCTGAATATGCAGTTTCATGGTCATATCTTACTACACAAACAATTTTAGGATTTTCTAGGGGATAATTAATTTCTACTAAACCAATTTTTATATCAAATCCTAATAAATCCCTAGGAATAATGGAATCATCGTAATTTGGGGTATTTTTTTCTAATTTATGTTCTGATATATTTCTTGATCTAAATTTATCAAGTTTATTGTTTTCTTCGTTATTTCTTTTAACCATGTCCGAAAAATTATTTTCTTTCAAAATAGGCATATGATCAATGTTACCATGGTGAAAATGAGATGGAGGCAACCAGCCATCATCTTGAGATGGTACAACTGGAGGTATAGGAGGAATAGGTGGGCATGAATATTTGCCATCTTTTAATAATCCAATAGTTTGATAATACAATAATCCATATAATGCATTAATACGAGGATCAAGTGTTCTACATGGATATATATAATCTAATAACATTTTTATTGTATTTCTCTTTTTTTCTATATTACTAGTATCCTCTGATACTTCTGCAGCTGTTTGTGTGCAAACACCTGCAAATGATTGAACTAACGTATCAAGTTGTATATATAATAAATCTATACGACGAACTGTGTCAATTAAAGAACTTTGATTATCTTTTATATTGCTTAACTTCTCTTCAAGCTTCATAGTATATATTTTATTTTTTTCTAATGCTTCATAAGCCTTAGCTACTTCTTCTTGTAAATAATAATTGTTTTTTTCTGCAGAAGATCTTTTTTCTTTTTCTAATTTAAATAAATTAAAATAATGCCTTATTTTGTCTTCTAATCCTTCTAAAATGTGTTCAATAATTTCAGGTTCAGGCCTTAGTCTTCGTTGAACTGTATCTTTCGTGAGATTGTATTTACTTTTATCTTTCACTTCGAATTTTTTCAGTTCATCATGCCACACTTTAAGACTATCACTTCTTTCTCTCATTTGTTTCCACAATTTTAAATGAAATTATTTAAAACATTTAATAATTATTTTTAGTTTTAAAAAAAAAATAACGATGAATACAACTTCAGAAATATCATTATTTTTTTAATTTTTATATATTACAGAAAGATGACAATATTGTCATAATATTTATTTTTAACATTAATTTATAAACTTGCAATTAAATTTATTTAAATAAGTAAAAAAGAAAAAATATTTAAATAATTCGTTTTATATCTCTTTTTTTTCTTCTTTTCAAAAATAATTATATATATTAAATAATTTTACTAAAAAACAATTGTTACAAAATAAATATTTTTTACGAAATAGACACGTACCAATAAAAATAATGTCAATAATATTAAAAAAAAAAAACATATATGTGTATGGCATAATGCCAATGTGAATAAATCTATATGAAAATATATGAATACATTAACTGATGTTGTTCAATTTGTGAATTATTTTTTGAAGCGTTCTAAATAGCTTTTTTTCACCTTAAATTGTTTTCTTTAGTTATATATAGAATTAAAATTTTTTAAATTATTAAAACAAATAGTAATTTTTTTTTTTTTTTTTTTTTTTTATATTAATATTAACAAATTATTATTTTTCATGTTGTAGTTAGAACAAATTTAATGAACAACGTATTTTTTTATGAACAATTTTTTTTTTTAAATACAAGTTCTAATTACGCACGCGCACGTACATGCACACGCCAGAAACCTTTTTTTTTTTTTTTTTTTTTTTTTTTTTTTTCTATATCCTTCATATATGTTTAGCTCAAAACAAATTATATATCTTTTTCCCTTAATTATTTTTGTTCTCCTTTATATTAATATTTTATTATAATTCTATTATTTATTTATTTTTTAAAATTTTTTATATAATTATTATAAATTAGATATGTATATATATATATACATATATATTTCACCTTTTAAAAAGAAAAAACTATAATTTCATTAAAACATAAAGGATTCTGAAAAATAAAAAATTTACAGAGTTATTTATAAATAAGAATAAATTCCTAATGATATATTAGTAGCTATTAAATATCCTATAACTCCCCAAATTGTGGCTGCAAATGTTAAATCAGGTCTTTCTAAAATTTTAGACATTAAAGCAGCAGTAGTGGGTCCACCTATATTTGCATTAATAGCTAATAATATTTCATCAATGGATATAGATGCAAATGAGATTCCTGAAACGAAATTATATATAAATGAAAAAGCAAAAGTAAAGAATAAGTGAATTATTAGTATACATATTATTAATATTATCAAAGGGCTAGCTATTGCACATAAATTTTTTACATTTATTAAAATTCCAGAAAGAGACAAATAGTATATAGTCAAAATTTTTAAAATTGTTGAATAATATTCTAATGATCTAAAGTATACACCTGTAATAAATTTGGTTATTTTATAATTATTCGTTTTAATGTTTACAATTTGTATTATATAATCGAATGTGTACATATAAGTAAATGTTACTATCAATAGAAAAAATGTTTTAAGTTTGTCAATGTTTATGTGAGAAATCATAAATTTGTATAGTAGATCATTGTCATTTATTATTTTTTTGCTTAACAAAACTACAAGTATTATAGCTAAAGAATCATATAAAAGTTTAATAATAAAATCATAAAAAAGGTAAGGTTTCATATTTTCTTGTTTCTGATGATTTTCATTATTTATGAAAGAACCATATAGATTCATAAATTTTTTATCGGATATTAGGTGTTTTTTCTCTTCATTATTTAATTTAAGATTGTTATTTTTTTTTGTATCTTCTTCAATATCACTTAAAGTATCACTGTTACAAAAATAAGTAATTTTGCAATACTTTTTAAATAAAGGTAAAGTCATTAGAAATATGTTTGTGAAAATATCATCTAATATAAATATACTATTTTTTGCTTCACCGCTTATATTTAATAGATCAGCAACTTCTATAAAATTAATATAGCCACCAATATAGGTTGATATAAAACAAGCAACACTTTTTTTTAAGTAATTATCCGATTCAATATCATTTATCTCATATATAATTTTTGTTAAATAATAAGATAAAATACCACCAATAACTGTTCCAGTGGCACCAAATACAAATGCAACTCCCAAATGTAGTACCCTTCTACGTATTAAAAAATTGTATATTGAAACTTTCTGTTTTGATTCAAAGAAAATTACATTTTCTTTATATTTTGATGATTTAGATGTAAATATGTTTTTTTTTTTTATACATAAAAAAGTTACGATAAGAGAAATACATAAAGTATAGGACAAAATTTGTTTCAAAAAAAATTCCATATATTTTTTATCGTAAATTTCAATTTCACATATTGCGTTAAAAATTATTCCTAAAACAAAGCTAGATAAATATGCAGTAAAAATACTTCCAATTTTTGTGTTAGATTCAAATATTACACTTAAAAGACTAATTATAAAAGCAGTGACATATTGATGATACTTTAAATAATTTATCATGGTTTTATATAATTTTTTTAAAAAATTTATTTCCTATTTTAAAAAATATAACTGTTTGTTTAACATTATTCTTAAAAAGAGAAAAAAAGCATGGAGAAAAAAAAAAAAAAAATACATAAATATCTATATATATATGTATTTTCATTATTTAAAAAATATATTTATAATTTTAAATATATTATGATTTATAGTCATTAAATAACATTTATGTTTTCAAAGGAATTATATGGCATTTTAATAAAGTGCATATTTTTTCAATTCATATTTTAAAAGGAATAAATTTATGAAAAAAAATTATATATTTTTCTTATATCTATAATACGAAGATCGTTATAAGAAAAATGATTTTTACAACAATTTGTAGATTTGAAATTTAGGCAATAATATTATGTTACCTTTTCTTTATTTATATATATAATTTTATAATTAAGAGATGAAATTTCATTTTTGCTTAGTATAAGATAATATAAAAATTATTTGAGTTTCTAATTTATCTTAATTTTTTTTCTAGTTGTATGTATAAGCTAACATTATAAACATTATATTAGCAAATACAGTTATCACTTCCATTATATTTTTTTTAAACTATAAAAAATTATATTCTTTTTTTTTAGGAAATTATAGTTAACTATTGTTACTTTTTTTTTTTTTTTTTTTTTTTTTTTTTTTTTACACTTAGGGTGCTAAACAAAAAATTGATATTTAAATGAAAAAAAAAATTATAAGAACTTGATAAATCTATTTATATATTATATGTTAATTTCAAAATCAAAAAAGAATATATATTAAATTTTCATAAAAAAATCTTCATACATTATGAATGTTTATTTTATGAATTATGAGAATTTTGAAATAAATGTAAAAAAAGAATATTTCAAAAAATGTTATTCTCTTAATTATAAAAAGAATAAATTTTATGAAAAGTAACCAAATATATAAATGTATAATTTATGTATAAATTCTAATATTTTATCATATCTTATCAATTTAATATTATGAAAAAAAAAAAAAAAAAAAAAAAAAAAAAAAAAGATATGAATTTAAAAATTTGTTATTTATGTAAATGTTTCTATCTTAAATGAACCTTACACATTCTAAAATAACTAAAAATTTGTGATAAATCAAATAATAATATTTTTTTTTATATATTTTATTTTTTTCTTATTAATAAAGAAAAAATATATTAGCAAAAATATTATTTTTTTGTAGTGTAAATATAATGTCAATTTGATTTAGTTCTATTTTTACTTTAAAGATATGATGTAAAAAATAGTTTGAAAAAAATAGATAATTCATCAAAATATTTAAAATTTATAAATAAAAATTTAAAGAAAATTTTCAAATAAAATGAACAAATTGAATGTCGAGAAAATGAAAATTCATTTAAATAATTTTAACTTTAAATATAAACTTTAATTTTAATTATATTCTTTTATGTATAAGCGAAAAAAAAAAAAATAAAATAAAATAATAAAATAAAAATTGTAGCTTCATTTTTTTTTTATTTGTGAAGGTAAATTATTCTATTTTTTTTTTTTGTGTAAAATGCCTCATGTTGATAAAACAGAAGTGTTTTTTAAAATTGTTGAGAAGCTTAGCAGTGATAATTTTAATTTAAGAAAAAATAGAAGCATCGCTCAAGACACACAAGTGAGCGAACTTGCTTCAAAAATAACTAATTTACTACAAGGAGGAAACCAAAAATTACAACAGTTGGATAGATGTAAATAAAAGAAAAAAATAAAAATAAAATAAATTATACTATTATAAAATGTAGATTATTTATTTAGATGGAATAAATATTTAAATGTTTATCCTACTAAAATATAATTAAAAAAATGTCAATTACTTTTTTTTTTTTTTAATGTTTCTTTATATATATATATATTTTTAATAAATATTATTTTAAGGTGTAAAGCAAAAAGGAATTTTTAATGACAAAACTTCTGAAATAGAAGAATTAACATATGAAGTGAAACAAACAATCACAGATGTAACAAATAATTTAGATTTATTAGTAAATTATACCTATAGTTTAAATATTAGTAATCCACAAAGTAGAACTCACATAGATAACATCATTTCTTCATTAAAAAATCAACTTTATGAATTTACAAAGAAATTTAAAGATACTTTACAAATCAGGAGTGAAGTAATATTAAAAGAAAAAAAAAAAAAAAAAAAAAGACATACATATAAATATGTATTTACTTCATTTTTTTTTATGATTTTTTATTTTTTTATATAATATATTAAAATGGTATAACAATTTTTTTTGTGTGTTTACATTCAAAATAGCATATAAAAAAACAAGTAAATAGAAGAAAAATGTATTCTCATACATTAACTGAAGCAACATTTAACAATGAAAATTATAAATTTACCCCCCTTCATGATATTGATATTGAAAGGTATATATATATATATATATTTAAATAAATTATGATAAAATACATTTATTAATTTAAGTATTTTTAAATATTAATTTGTATTTATTTTACAGTGGTCAACAACAAACTCTAAAAGTGAAGGAAAAAACGTCATATCTACATTCAAGAGTTGATGCCATGGAAAACATTCAAAAAGTAATAGGGGATTTAGCACAAATGTTTCAAAAAGTTGCAACTATGGTTACTCAGCAAGATGAAATGATTAAACGTATTGATGAAGATATAGATATTTCTTTATCTAATACTAGAGAAGGGCAAAATTATCTTTTATCATATTTCAATAGAGTTACCTCCACAAGGACTCTTATATTGCAGGTATGAATTTTATTAATATAATACTTATAATAATATATACACATTTAAGATATTTACTAAAATTATAAATTTTCTACATTTTTCTTGAACACCTTAGGTTTTTGTCTGTATATTTGTTTTGATAGTATTTTTTGTTTTATTTTCGTGAAAAGAAAGTTATATAAAGTTGAAAATTCGTTTCATAAATCACCAAAAAAAATTTTAAGGAAATTATAACAATGCATATTTAAATATATCCTTATTGATAATACACATTTAATTTAGTATTTTTAATTTCGTTTTAACATAAAATCATCCATATTTCGTTAAGGAAATTATAATTTTTTTTTAGTGTTTGTTGTTTATTCTTAGATACTACTTATTTACTTTTTTTTTTTAAAATGATAAATTTATATTTATAATTTTCAAAGAAAAACAAAATTGTTAAAATTAATTTATAAATATATTTTTAAATAAATTGAAATATATATATTTTAACAGAACAACGTACTCACACTTGTACAAAAAAAAAAAAAAAAAAAAATTATGTTTATACATTTTAATTTTTATTTTTTTTAGTTTTACATAATTTATCCATCCTGATTATTTTTTTTTATAATATTTTAATTTACACTTCTATATTTTTTAATATAGATATTTAACCAAAAAAATGGTCATTTTACGTAAAATGAATATACATCATTTTAATTAAAATTAGTTTATTAAAATTTTATTTTTTTATAAATTAAAATTTTAAATTATTTTTATTTAACAAAAACTTCCAAATATAATAATGTAAATTTTTCCTTTATCATCTACTTCATACAATACAGTATACCTTTCATAGAACAAAAGAGCAATTTAAAATATGTAGTATTACGAAGACTAAATCAAATTTATATATATATTTAATTTAAAAGTTGCTGAAAAAAATATAGGATTGTACTCGGTGCACTTAAAACTATATTCGTTAATGTAAAAAATATTATCCTAATATAAGTTGAACACCTATTATTAATAAAGAAATCTTAATAATTATTTATATTTAAATTCTGCCTTTGACGAAAAAAATATTCTGAAAAATTTGATATATATATTTATATATATTCTTTTATATATTTCACAAAAATATCATTATTTTATAAGTATTCGATAAAAATTTCGATACTGTAATTTTGAGAATTTGTTTATTTTCTTATTAATATATTTATTTTTATTTATTATTTTTTTTTTTTTTTTTTTTGGGGGGGGGAGAGGAAATTATAAATTCCTATAATTTTTATATAGTTAAAAACATTTTTTTTTTTCTTTAAATTAAATATCATAATTTTAATATATCTTTACAAATCATATTAATACATATATCCACATAAATGGTTTTTATATACAACTCTTTATATATATATATATATATATATATAATTAAAAAATATAATTTAACTTAATTTTTGAAAAGTTTGTAACATTTACATTGCTTTTAATTATTATATTTAATTAAAAAAAAAAAAAAAAAAATATTAAAAATTTAAACAATTGCAGAAGCAGCTGATGATAATTTTGGCCATAATTCTGCACATTCTCTGGCAACTGGTCCTGTTATAGCTGATCCTTTCATTTCTCCTTTGGGGTTAACTATAACTCCTGCATTATCTTCAAAATATATAAAATAACCTTCATGTCTCCTCCAAGCTTTTGATTGACGAGCAATAATAGCATTTAAAACTTTTTTTCTCAAATCAGGTTTTCCTTTTTTTACAGTAGCTAATACCATATCACCTAATGAAGCAGCTGGTAATCTATTTAAACATGATCCAAAACCCTTTAATAAAGAAAAAATAAAATAATAATTATATAAGAAAAATATAAAATTATATATATATATATATATATATATATATATATATATATATATATATATACAAAATAAAGAAAAAATATAGATGAAACTATTTTATTTTAATTTGATAACATTAATTTTTTTTTTTAAATATATTTCTAAAATATATAAAGATCAGTGTCTTTTTTATTATCGGCTTTTTAATTTATCAACATATATTTCAGTCCTATCATTGTATTCATCATATGTTTATATATTTTAGATATTCCTTTTTCATAAAAAAAAAAAAAAAAATATATATATATAATAATAAAATTACCTGAACAGCAATAATGTACAGGTTTTTTCCTCCACTATTATCACAACAATTAATGAGAGCACCTACTGGTAAGGATAAGGTAATTCTCATTTTATTTTTTAATGTTCCTGCTCTTCCTCTTTTCATTTTTAAATAATTATATAAAATAAATATATAATAAATTAATATTAAAAGAAAAAAAAAAAAAAAATTTTAAATTTTGTAAAAATTTAAATAATAAAAAATAATCATAATAAATATTAATTAAATTATCATCACAATTGATAATAATGTTACAAAAAAATTAAATATGTTTTTAAAATATTTTACTTATAAACATTTTATATAAATATATATATTATATATATATATAAAATAATTATAAATTTAAAAAAATTTTTTTTTTCCAAAATATTTTATATAAAATTAAAAGTACATAAATATAATAGATATATATTATTTTATGTTTTTGCATATATATGAAAAAAAAATATATATGATATTCATTTATAATATTAAAAAAAAATTGTATATTAAATAATTATGCATATAAAATGAAAAAAAAAAAAAAAATATATGAAATATATGTATTCATACATTAATTAAAAATGTTATAACCAACAGTGACAAAAGGGATAAATTAAACATATGAAAAATTTATCTTAGTATTTTTTTTTTTTTTTTAGCATATCCATAATATTTTAATTCCAAAAATAGTTAATTTTATCATTTTCTAGTAAAATTTTATATAGAATAATATATATTTTTCAAATTTCCTAATATTTATATATTTTTTTATTTTTAATATTAGTAATTTAAGATTAATTTCCTTATAATGCATATTAGTGAAATTTTAGTTTACATTATATTTAGAAAGAAAAAGAAATAATATATAATGAAAAAACGCACAATTAAGAAATAAAAATTATTATTGAATAAAAAATTACTAGATAATAAAAGAAAAAATTCAATTTATCCTATCTTTAAACATTATAAAATTTTTTTGTTTTTATAGACGCAAATATTTAAAAATTTAAATAGAAAAAAAAAGTAAATAAAAAAATATCTATTTTTATAAATCTATAAATCATTATACTTGTTCTGTTCTACAAATTAAAATACTAAATTCGTAAGTCAAAATAATTAGAATATTTTAAAAAAATTTTCACATTTTTCATGTTAATAGGTTTATATTTACAAAAATTGTGCTATCATTATTCTTAAAAAAAAAAAAAATTTACGTAAAATAAGTATTCTTTATTTTTTAATTTTGTTTTATGTTAAATTAATATATTATATAAAATATATGTATAAACAATTTAAATTATAAGCGTGAAAATAACTAAAAAAAAAAAATTATTTTTTCTAATTTTTTATTTAAATTACTTTATATATTATATAAGGGAATATTTTTTTTAAAATTTCTTATTAATAAATTAAAAAATTTATTGTAAATTATCATAAAATTTAAATAATTACTATTTACTACAATAAATAACTGTTTAACACATTTACAAAAAGAAATATGGTTAAAATTTAAAAAAAAATTGAACTATTATAGAATATGAACAATTATATTTAATTTTATTTTTTTCTCATCTTTTATATATTTATTTGTAAAAAGTGCCATAAATATTATCTTATTATAAAATAATAATTTACATTTATTATGCCTTTGCATAAATATATTACTTTATAATTTACTTTTATTTCTTAATTTTTTTTTTTTTAAAATACACAATTCCCACTTTACAATAATAAATATGAAGTTTCCCGTAAAAATATTTGAAATTTTATATATTTAGAGCATATATATATTTTTTAATTTTTTTTTTTTTTTTTTGTTTTTTTTGCATAAATATAATAACATTGTAATTTGTACAACTATTTTTATATATAAATATACGTGTGTATTAAAAAAGTTAATATAATTTAAAGAATAGATAAGAATATTTACATTTAATAGATTTATGTACTTTTTATTTTGGTTAATCATAAAATTATATTTAAAATAATAGAATTAGAATATAATTTATTTATATTGTATTAAGAGTTATTTGACATTTAAAAAGGAAAGAAAGTGTATTTAACTAATTTTTAATAAAAGTACTCCTTTAATTCATTTCCATATAAGTAAATGCAATTTTTTAATTAAAGATAGTAAATATATATATATATATATATATGTTTATATTTATATAAACAAAAACATGGAATATATAGAAAAGATATATATTAAAAATAAATTAGAATTGTCTGAGAATTTTCACTACTTCTATAATTGGTTCAAATTTAATTTTGGTATATCTTTGATAGTAAGTGAAAATAGTAGTTTAAAGAATAGTATAATATTAGAATTAGAAAATAACAAAAAACTTATATTGAATGAGATAAATAGTTGTGAAGCAATATTTCTGTTAAGTAGTAACAATGATGATGAAGACTATTATAATTTGTTAGAGAAAGAGGAATTAAAATATTATTTAAAAGATTATATATTAGGAAAAAAAAAAATAAATGAAGATTTTTATGAAAAAATAGAAAACGAAATGATAAATAAAAAGTTTTTTTTGAGCGATAAGTTACATTTTGTTGATTTCTTATTATTTTGTGTATTTAAAAAACATAAAGTTGAGAATATAAAAGAAAAATATATAAATATAAGTAAATGGTTTTCAAAGAACAATGTCAATATTAAAGAAGGTGATATTAGCTCTATTACAAATACAAATTTTATACAACAAATAATTGAAGATGATTTAAAAAAGAAAAAGCATATACAAGTAATAACAAGATTTCCACCAGAACCTAATGGCTATCTCCATTTAGGTCATGCAAAAAGTATATGCTTAAATTTTGGATTGTCAGAAAAATATGGAGGTAGAACACATTTACGATTTGATGACACCAATCCAGTTACTGAAGAAATAAGATATATAGAATCAATAAAAGAAGATGTTAAATGGTTAGGATTTGATTGGAAGGAACATTTATATTTTGCATCTGATTATTTTGATCAATTATATGAATGGGCAGTTCAATTAATAAAACAAGGAGATGCTTACGTTGATGATCAAACTATTGAAGAAATAAGGAAAACTAGAGGAAGTTTAAAAGTACCAGGAGTAAATTCACCATATAGAAATAGATCAGTTGAAGAAAATTTAGAACTTTTTGAAAAAATGAAAAAGGGAGAATATAAAGAAGGAGAAAGAGTATTAAGAGCAAAGATAGATATGACTTCAGGAAATATAAATATGCGTGACCCCATATTATATAGGATTATGCATAAAGTTCATCCAAAAAGTAAAGACAAATGGGTTATATATCCAATGTATGATTTTGCTCATGGTCAATCTGATTCTATTGAAAAAATTACACATTCTATATGTACCTTAGAATTTGAAACACATAGACCTTTATATGAATGGTTTCAAGAAAAATTAAATATTTTTAGAACAAGACAAATTGAATTTGCTCGTTTAAATTTAACATATATGGTTATGAGCAAAAGAAAATTATTAACTTTAGTTAATGAAAAATGGGTGAAAGACTGGGACGATCCACGTATGCCAACTATATCTGGTATGAGAAGAAGAGGATATAGCCCAGAAGCTATAAAAGATTTTTGCAGCAAAGTAGGAGTAGCTAAAAGAGAAAATATGATATCGTTTGATTTGTTAGAGCTATGTGCTAGAGAAGATATGAATAAAAAAGCTATACGACTATTTGGTGTATTAAAACCATTAAAAGTTGTTATAACAAATTTTGATGAAAATTTATATAAGAATTCTGATTTTTATGTGTTAACTGCTTTAAATCATCCTAGAAATGATAATATGGGTAGCAGAACCATAACATTTGAAAAGGAAATTTTTATTGATGAAGAAGATTTTCAAGAATTTCCTTCAGAAGATTTTTATCGTTTGGCACCAAAGAGAACAGTTCGATTAAGATATGCATTTTGTATTACATGTAATGAAGTAATTAAAGATGAAAAGAATAATATTATAGAATTAAGATGTACATATGATCACAATAGCAAAAGTGGGACTTCTGAAAATTCTAAAAAAGTTAAATCTACAATCCATTGGGTATCAAAAAAAAATTCAATCTTATCAGAATTTAGAATATATGATAAACTATTTACAAAGGCTAATCCTGAATCTAATGATGATGATTACGATATTGAAAAATATATGAATAATTTTATTTTTGAATTAAATGATAATAATAATACGAATAATAATTCACTTGATTATTCTTCCGATTTTCAGAAAGATAATGATAATAATAAAGAAGAAAACATTAATGATATAAATAATGTCGGATGGAGAAAATATATAAATAAAAATTCTTTAGTAATTCATAAAGGATTAGTAGAAAAATATTCCATGAATTGTAAAGTAGGAGATCCAATACAATTTGAAAGAATTGGATATTTTACAAAAGATAATGATTCTACTGATGATTTACCTGTTTTCAATTTAACAGTAGCTTTAGTTGATAATTTTTCATTAAAAAAGAAAAAAGATGAATTGATTAAAAAAGAGATGGATAAAATTAAAAGAGAAAAAATTGCTAACGAAAGAAGGTTAAAAAAGGAAGAAAAAAAAATTAGAGAACAAAAGAAAAAGGAACAAGTATGAAAAAAAAAAAAAAAAGAAAAAATAAAATAAATAAATATACCGTCTAAATAAACAAATTAATAAAAAGTCGATATTCAAAAATAAAATTTAATGATTTTATTACATTTTCGAAAAGACAAATATTTAAGAATCAATTTTTTTATTTTATTTTTTTCTATGTATTCATTGAAGAGAATATGCATTAAATGAAATTTTTCTTTTTGTTACCTTTTTTTTTTTTTTTTTTTAATTTTTTTTAATTTTTAGAGTTACAATTTTATATTAGGAGTTAATATATATATTTAATTTGCATTTGAAATTTTTTTATGTAATTTTATTAAAAATAACTTCTAAATATCTAAATGATATTCAAAAACCAAATTTAAATTTACATATTTTGTAAAATAAAAAAAGATAATATTATTTAAAAAATATAAAATGTTCAGAGAAAATTAAACTTTTCTTTTTATACAAAAAAAAAAAAAAAAAAAAATTATGATTACAAAAATTCTTAATATTTTTATAGTAAGTCTATAGCAATTCAAAGATTTTTTTTTTAATTAATATCAGAAAAGTTTTCATATTTTGTATCCCAAATATGTTTATACACATTTATATAAATCGAAGTTAAAAATATGTTAATTTAATTTTATTCATACTTTGATAGATTAATATATATATATATTTATTTTTTTTTTTTTTTTTTCATTGAAGTAAAACAAAAAAATTTATTGATATATATCTCTAGAATTATAAATATATTTTTTTTTTTTATCTTTTTTCTTATTCTGTCAAATTTAAAAAAAATAAAAAAATAAAATACATGGTATACTTATATTGATACATTTTTTTTTTTTTTTTTTTTCTTTCTTTTTTTTTTTATTGTAATTTAAAATATATATTTTTATATATTTTAATAATTTTCATTTATAAAATATTTTTTTTTCTTCAATATCTTTTAAACATTAATATATATGTAAAGTAACAAATATTTAGTCAAAATGAGTGTAAAAACCAAGTTCATGCTTACTTATAATATTTTGTGTTGTATATTGTGGATATTTGTTTTATTAACTTCAATTCAATATGCCTTTAACAAAGAAAAATATCATATAAAAGATTTTTGGTCAAATTCTAGAAAATTAATTACAATAACACAGTCATTAGCTATATTTGAAATTTTCTTTTCAATTATAGGTATTTAAAAGTGGATCTAAAATTACATATGTATTTTTTTTTATATATATGTATAAATATAATGTTATTTTATTATTTCTTTATAGGTGCAATTAATTCAGTTGTAACTATTGTAACAGCTCAAGTATTTAGTCGATTATTTATTGTTCATTTAATTTTTAATTATTTACCTAATAACAATAAATGGATATTCTCATGTTTAATATCTTGGTCAATCATAGATATAATCCGTTATTTAATTTATTCCCTCAACTTGTTAAATATTCGTATTAATTTTTTAGATGGACTACGAAATAAATGTATTGAAAAAATAACAAATAATATATAAATACTATAAAAATAGGAAAATAAATTATTCGAAATTTTTAAATATAAAAAAAATAAATATAGAAGTTAAAAATTCTAAATATACATATAAATAACAGTAATTTATTATTATTTTTTTTTTTTTTTTTTTTAAATATAAATATTTTTTTTCTTTTTTATAGTGCCATTAATATTATATCCAATAGGAATTACTTCAGAAATTATTTGCACTATATCTAGTTTAGATAATATTTATAATACTCCCTTTTTAAGAGCATTTCCATATTCTATGCCAAATAATTTAAATTTTCAAATTGACATTTATTATTTCTGTATTTTTGTTTTATTTCTATATATACCAGGAAGTTTTTTACTCTACTCAGCTGCTATAAAGTAATTTTCTTATCAATTTTTAGAAATATATTAATTTTTCCTCCATTTTTTTTGTTTTTAAATCATACATATAATATTATCAACATTTTTTAATTACATAATATATATATATATATATATATATATATTAGTAGGATTATTGTTATTATAATATTTTTTTTTTTTTTTTTTTTTTTTTTTTTTTTAAAAAAATTAAAAAAAAAACAAAAAAAAAAAAAAAAAAATTGTAATAAAA